ACAGATGTGGATCAAACTTAGGCGTAATTCCTTACATCTCTGAAATTAAGTTTGTTGATTAAAACATGATAGATATATAATTCTCTGGGTATATAATTTAATTGAAAATGGATAACTGTTTGCAAAAATCGTCCAGCTCTTATGTATTAGAGAATCATATATTTGTCATGTTTACTTGAACCTTGATAGCAAATATATGAGTAGCAGTACATAAAATCTTTTCACGCTCAAAGACAATTCTCGATATATTTTTATTAAACATCACAACAGTTAATTACTTCTGGAAATTTTGAACATGCAAGTCATGAGGGGATGATACTGTAGGTTAACCTAGAACTCTGCTTGTAGTTGCTCTCTTCTTATTTACTTGAATTTATTTTGTTCTGCCACTTGTGGGCAAAACATTACTAAAGGAGGGTATTCTTCGGGGGACTGGATGCATTTTGATATTACTAATGCTTGTCACGCAAGACATTATAAAGATTACATGATCTTCTGCCTCTTAATGCTGTTACTCTGTATCATCATAAGTGAAAATTATTCATCTTCTATTCCTTAAAAATGCAGAGCTGAGGTTGAAAAGGTCCGGGAGAATCAGAGGTTTTTGGAGAACAAGGGTTTAGTTGTGTTTTTTGTGTCCTCTACATTTTTGCTAATAGCTATAGTGCGGCTATCTGTGGATATAACAGTGAGCGTGTATAGAATAGTGATGAGTGTTGATAGAACAGGTAAATCTGGGAAATTTTGTGCGACTAGCTCTTCCTGGTTTTTACTTTTATTGAGTTGTAGCATTATTGTTTTCATATTAACTTCATAATAATTTAATTTCAAGATTTTGTGGCCAGATTTTGAATTTCTTCAGTTAAATTTTATTTACAGTTTTCAATTAATTACACGGGATACTCTTGAGGCAAAATTCGTAAAAGTACGTGCTCTGATTTTACAGATTGTGTCCGGATTTTGAATTTTCCTTTTGTTTTTTTTTTAATTCACTTTTAGAGATTAAAAAGAGATGTGTGGATATAGTACCTCTTGGGTAGCTTCTTGATATGGATAAAAATATAATTATGTCAAAATTAAATATTAATTTATTTTAAAGAATAAAAAATCAAAAATAATAAAATGTGAGTTCCAGGCATTTTGGAAGTTTGAAAAAGGAGTAATTACTAATTGGGCCGTATGAATTACATGTGTTGTTACAAATTTTATAGGATTAAGATTAGTTTAGCACCCTAAAATATTTTGTTCAATATATTTAGCATCTTAATTATTTTTTCAGGTGCATCCAGGATTCTGAATTATTTTGTGGTGTAATTTTGTTCTTAAATTATTAATTTTTTTCGTAAGTAACTGTACTTTTCAAGTATAATTTCATGAGCAATTTTAGGGTGTTGAGTATGGTTCAAAAAGTATTCCAGAGTGCTAGATGAATTATCAAATATTTTAAAGTACTGGATACACCTAAAAAAATATTTTAATGTGCTAAACATACCACAAAATGTTTTAAGATACTGGACTCATCTAACTATTTATCTGACAATATTTAGGGGTGTTGGATCTATTTTAGCTTAAATGAATATTGCATATTGATATATTGATTCTTGATATGATGAATAATTTTCCCGTTATTATGTACAAGTTTTGTTTGCCTAGAATAAGGGGTGGAAGTGGACCACAGTTAGCCTTCTTAAAACTAAAACTCAGCTTAGGCTTAAATTTTGGCTTATTTCTAAGCTTATTTAGGTAAACAAACCAAGCTTATTCTCATAAAACCTAGCTTATAGGCTTATAGACCTGGTCTATTTTCTTTCTCTTTTTTTTTTTAATTTGGGCTATCATATATAATATAATAATTGTTATCCTTTAAATTTATTCTTATTTTGGTTTTAATCTTTCAAGTTTAAAACTATAGGTTTTGGTTCTTCAATGGGCAAAATAGTTCAATTTTTATTAGATTATACATACTAATACTTTAAATGAAAAGGAACTTACAGGACCAAAACTAAAATGAGAACAAAATGGAGGGATCAAAAATTGTATTAACCTTAATATAATCTAAATTAATTTTATAAATTATTTATATTACTAACTTTGATTTGATCCTAACTTTCATATCACAATATTCATACATAAGATCAATTCTTTCATTTATCAGTCATTCACCTCTACATTTTTTCTTCTTTTCGACCGCTTAAAAGATGTCAACATTATCTCACTCCCTTTGCCCTTGTTTGCATTGTCTGTTAAGGTATAACAATTGTTACAAGTTTATTTTGATGATACCTAAATAAAATATTACAATCTCAATAAGAAGAATTTACCACAATTTTTGCGAGAAAAAGATGTAAAATCCAGTTTTATGTTACTTATTGCGCTTGATTGATTATTTCTCTTTAGTCAACAAATAATTGTTTTTTTTATTATTTACACTTGTTTGAATAACCATTATTACTATACATTCTTTTCTTTTCAACATAAGTTTCTAAATCGGTTTGAAGAATTTTATCTAAATACGGAGGTATAGACTTTAAAACTTATTTAAAAGCCTACATTTTAAGTTAGACTTTAAAAAGACTTCAAGCCTTTTGATTTAAAAAAAATAAAAAAATCTTTGTGCAAGCTTAGGCGTTGAATATTTACAACCTCTAGTCTTTAATATAATAATTAATAGACTAATTTGAGTAGATTAAAAAAACTAACTATATTAATTATTTGTAATAAATAAATATTGTCTTTCTTAAAATATCTTTGCTAATCAAATGTATTGAGTAGAACTATCATCATTACAAAGATTATCTTTTAAAAAAATGAACAAATATAAAAAACAGTGAATTAGATTTTTATATTTAATACCAAAATAAAAATCAAATAAGATTTTATAGTAACAACCGGAGACAGTATTATAACCATGCTTATTTAACTAAAGCCTCACCTTACCTATTTTCATCCCTAACCTTGAAACAGAGTGAATCTATTTATATCATAACCGCACAACACGCTCATTCACTTGTAAGCGATAATCGACTCATGATTTTGGACTATTTGGCACTATATTTATTTTTCAAAATTTGGGCCAAAAATTTTACAAAGCATTTTGTCACCAGCACCCTACTTTTTCATGCATACACGGGGAAAAAGAAAATCTAATTGACAAGATAAATTGAATTATTGCACTAACAAAACTCATACAAATAAGAAAGAATCCAAAAAAAAAAATCTTTGAATTTCAAAATGCCTTATTTGTTACACTTTAATAACAATTGACAACATTTGAAAAGAAAATAATAACTTATTTTTATAGTTATTCCTGATTGAGATTTTAAAATTTTAGAATTATTTTTTGGAATTTTTCCTGCAAATAATTGAACAAAACAAGAAACCATAAAAAATCTTCAATTGCAGAGGGAAATCTATTTCTCAACTCTGATATCAACAGACAAACAAGATTATATACTCTTCCCTATTTCAGAGAATCCATTCCGGCTAAACTTTCAATCACATTTGTAACTAGAATTATCATCAAAAGGGAAAAAAATCAATATCCTTCCAAAATCTGCAAAAGTTCAATTTGCTTCAGATTTCCCAAATTGCAAAAGGGAGAAAACAGATGGAGGAAATGTGTCATAAGAAACCTGAAAATCAAAATGTTTTACATTAGAGGAAATTGCTCATGGAAAACAAATAGGAACAAAGAGAAATGAAATGGGAGTGTTAACCCATGAAAGAACTTTGTTGTGAACAACTCAAAATCACACACACACATCAATATTTTCTTTACTTGATTTGTAAAAACCTTTGAACTGGAGACTATGACAGATCAAGTAGCAAATTAAATCATATGTTACTAAAATTCTGTATTAAAGAAACATGTACCCCTATCATTTTAGTCAGTCAGGACATGCTTTTGCAGCATGAAAATAAACTCTTCATCATCATAAATATGCATGACAGAACATGCTTTTACTCTTATTCAGCCGGAAGCTTTTACTCTTATTCATCTTATTACTCAAAACTTGGATGAAAATCCACGATTCCAATCAAATCATGGAACAAAAACAAAAAGAAAAAGGAAGGAAGTTAGCTTACATTAAATTTCTGAATCATCCATTAGAATCGTAATATATACAACAAAAACACATGAATGTCTTACATGAATCATTCTCTTGACACCATCATCCTCCCTCTGGGAAGCTGCCTCTAATGATCATAAATTTATACCTACAACATGAACATAATTCCAATTATATTATTTAAAATTAAAAATTTATGGAAAAGAAGGAACTATTCCCTAGCTGGAGTAGTAGAAGATCGCCTGTGTGAATTTTTAAGCTGAGACATCTTTATGTTCTGCAAGATTAGTTGCATTGTTGTACTTCAAGCAAGAGAAGTGTGAACATCATGGAGATATTGGTACACACAACATTAACTCTATTAAATGTAATCAACATTGTCATAAATCTAGAACATTAAAAGGGAAGATCATAACAAAAGAAAACGGAGAATTCAGAAATGCCCTATTCGGAAAGCCAAATTTACTATGATCAAGATCATGAAGCACAAGTGACATTGCAATTGTTTGATTCACAAATTACAGATCCAAGTCTCCAACTTACAAAATTTAATGCAACAAAAGTAAGCTTTTCAAATTAAAAAAACACGCAAGTTGAGAACAAAATATGCATTCAAGCTCCAAATGATCATCTTTAGCGATGATTATGCTATGTGTTATAGGCCTTCCTTTTTCTTGGCGTATCTAATGTCTAGGTTCTTTAAAATTTGTCTGATTCATCGGAGGGGAAGGGAGTGAAGAAGGGGAGGAATTTTAATACTAACCCGTTTGGAATGATTAGAAAGAGGAAAGGTCTAATGTTACGTTGTTTACTTAGGATGAGGAGGAAAAATAATTTTATACAGACAACTTTGCCTTTATTTTATTTATGATTTTTTTCTCAAGCTTAAAATGTTTAATATAATATAATTATAAATGACGTTCAATTTATAAAATTATAATTATTTAAATTTTTTAAGTATAATTGATGGCTAATATCCAATAATTATAATTATACTTACAAAATATCATTAAGCATGGCACTAAACAAACGTCAAATACCACAATCAAAAGAGACACAGTGCCATCCAGTTCTCCTCCTAAGCAACAAAATTCTAATATTAGAATCGAAAACCATCTTCATAATCACTTGCTTACACAACAACAAAGTGAACATTGAATAACTATCTTGAGTTTGGCCACATCATTCATGAGAAAACAATAAATGTCAAGAATCTTCTCTTCATGACATCCTCAATCTCGAATCAGTTTAAGAGTTTCTTACTTCGAAATTTGCAGGGCATGTCTGCTTTAAATACTTAATTTCATTTGCTAAGAACAGTTGCAATAACATTCATCCTTTATGCAATTTGAGATATTTGTGAAGGCTCTTTATTCTTGGTGGCAGCGTCTTTTTTGGCCATCCTATAGCTTTCACTATTTTCCCTGGGAGAATGGTCATCATGTGGGAAATTTTTTCATATCGACTGGAAAATTCTCTTTGTCTAACGTAATAATACCTTTGTCTAATAGAGGAAAAGAAGTCTCTCTTTTGTTAATTGCGGAAGGGATCATATTTTGGTAGAGTTATTTGTTACCATTTTTGGATAAAAAAATGTTATACCTAGTATTTGAGAAGGTATAGAAAGGGGAAGAGAAAGAAAGACAAGATAGAATAAGAGGAGCGGAGGGTTATAAGAAGAGAGAAGAATAGCAAGGCAAGATAGAGGTTGAAAATACTATATCATTCAATCATAGAAGCATACACACACGTTTGATGGCTGTATATTCGGGTACAGATATAGGCAGGGGAGACATGGTCTGGAAAAGCTGAACCATGTCCCTTCACAGGACGAGGCTGTTCTGGTCTTGTCCTGTGAACACCCTTACTGAACATGATAATCACGATAACTTCAAGAACACATCATTTTAATCCCTATGCTCGAACATATCACGTCACACAGTAAGAGTTCCCACTTTGGCAATGCATAGAATAAAGCTTGTGGCTTACTTAGCAATTAATAACTATAAAGAAATTAATGAATCTGGGAAAAAACAATAGAAGCAAAATGAACATAGTAACCAAGCAAATACCCTATAACGAATAGTTAAAAATTTTAAATTCTGATTATTTTGACCCCTAACATAGCATTATAGAAGAGACAGGAATTTGAAAAATTTCAACTGCATGCAAAAAATTAAACCATCCCAATAATTTGGTGTACACAACTAAAAGTAAAAGCTTTCTCTAAAAACATTAAGGCCAATAATGTTGATTGAGATAGTTATGGATGAAAAGAAAATAAAGGAAATGAATAGAAGTGGCAGTACTGTTGTGGCTTTTGCGTATCAAGTCAGCAATGCTCACATCTTTTTCTAATTGGAATATGCTTAGGCAATGAGCGAGGTTGGCAGGGAAGAAATTTCGAGCTTTTGAAAATAAAGAGAAAAAATGACACGTGAAGAACAAAACCTAACCTGGAAACGAAGAATAAATAAATATGTATGAAATGACATTCAGCTAGCACATGCAAATGAGGAAAGGGAAAATGGCACTCGTTATACAGACAGCAACAATAGAATATATGATCAACTTAATTATTAGAGAAAAATCACGAAGAAAAACAACTATTAGATTGAGTTCAATCAATATGGGAGAGAATAAACGTAAAGAACTAACCAATGAAATTTCAAATATATATATATTTAACTCTTGAGACTCCTAGGACAATGATTTCGGCAATGACAAAAATTCTTAAAATCATTTTCTTAAAAAAAAAAATCATCATACGTATTAAGCGATCAATCAAATTTCTAGAATAAACAACTCCAATCCAGCTAACGATTCCAAAGTCTCTCAAAGCATTTTCTATTAGCTAGATCCAAAACTGACAGTCCCCAACGCAGCACACTCATTATCATAATGAAAGTAGAAAAATTAATTCTACCCAAATACTCAAATTCCTCCTTTTTCTTTTCGACGTCATAGCTTATTCATATCATTGACCAACACATAGACGTAGCTCTAATCAAACATTGAAATTTACCATTTCAACAATGTTGTTTCAATTCAACAAGAGAGACACAAATATTATTACCTCATCCAAGTATCTAAGTTGTTCACTCAAGCCGATACCTAAGCACCTTCACGGTCACCTTTATCCTCTGCATCACCTAAATTCTTAGCTTCGGCTGTTGTCTCTGCCGACTCTGATTCAGTAACAGTCCCAGCAGTGCTCTCTTCCTTAGAAGCTTGAACTTCACCTTCAGGTTGAGATTCTGAATCTGTTTCCTTATTACCAAACAACTTTGACGGAAGCAAAGAAGCCACTGCAGCTCTTGCACTTCTTTTTGCGGCTTCAGCTGCCTCAGCCTCCTTGGCCTTGGCTTCAGCCTTCTTCCTTTCCTTCTCCTCCATCAGCTTGGTTAACTCATCCTCTCTGCCTTCTTTTCTCAACTCTGACTTAACAAACTCCTGGAAATCCTCATCAAAATCAACTCCATTGTCATCCAACAAGGTATCCACTATGCCAAGAACCTCGTCCAATCTTCCTGCATTGCTGAGCACGTTCATCATAAACTGATAACTTGAAACATCCATTTTGAGCTTCTTGACCATCAGATCAAAGAAAGACTTCGCCTCATCAATCTTTCCAACTTTAACCAAGCCATCAACCAACCTATTGTAAACTGCCAGGTTTGGTCTCAGGCCAGATTCAACCATTTTTTTAAAATATGCTGCTGCATCGTCAGGCCTATCCTCTTTGAAGCAAGTATCCATCAATAAGCCATAAGTGTACTCATCTGGGTTCACACCCTTGCTCTCCATTTCTCTGTAAATCTCCTCAGCTTCCACAAGCATTCCATTATTGCATAATTGTTCAATCAAATTATTGAAAGACAACGTGTCTGGGCTGCACCTATATTCACCCATTTTTCTAAATACTTCTATTGCCTCCTTGAATCTTCCTTGTCCACAATACCCATCAACCATCACATTGAAGCTTCCCAAATTAACTGCCAACCGCCTTGGAGGATTGTGCTCCCTTGTCATCCTACCAAACAACTTCAACGCCTCATCAAACTTTCCGTTCTTGCTCAGTGCATCCAACACCGAATTATATGCAACAGCACTCATCTTCACCTTGGAATTCTCTCCAACAGCCTCCTCGTAACATTCCATAGCCTCCTTATCCATTCCCCTCAGGAAATAACCCTTCATTAAGCTCCCATACACAATCCCATCTTCCAAAACCCCTCCCAATTTTCCTTTCAAATCTTCGTAAAGCTTAAACACACCATCAGGGTCCGAATTCCTGGCATGACCCAACATCAAATAGTGATACACAGTTGGGTCCGGCGCAAACCCTCTGGCGTCCATTTCCTCTTTAATCTCCATAGCTCGGTCCAGCTTATTGTTATCCACCAAACCTTTAATTAGAATCCGATATGTAGTAGGCGATGGGTTCATGGGGGCGTCATTGACAAATTGCTTGTAATGCTCCAACGCCGTATCGGGTTTTCGGCAATCAAGATACGTCTGAAAAATGAGATTGTGAGTTATGATATTGGGAACAACACCAGCTTGGGTGATGAAACGATGGAGAGACAGAAGATCAGAGTATTTAGACTGTCGAAGAAGAGCAGTGAGCACGGCATTGATGGTAAAAATGGTGGGCCGGCAATTAGAGTAAATGGAATGGCGAGTATAGAGAGAAGCTTCTTCGAGGTCATTTTCGCGAATGAGTGTGAGGATGCGATTATGGAGGTTGAGGCGATTACCAGTGAGGGCAGAAACATGTTCAGGGAGCTTAGGATTGCCAGGGTTGAGGTAATAAGGTGGAGATTGGGATTGAGGCTTGGCTTGTTGGGGCTGAGAGCGATTAAGAGCAGAGAGAGGAGGTTCGATGCGGAGCTGGCGTTTGCGACGGCGTCGTTCTGCGGCAGCTTCTTCGGGAGAGGAAAAGGAGAGGAAGCGTAGGTATACATAAGAGAGACGATGAGGTTTGGCTAGGCTGAAGAAGATGGGTTTAGAGAGAGCCATGGTCGTGAAGTCGAGGGTTTCAGAATTTGGATAATTAAAACGATGGGGTTCTAAAAGGGTTTATGCCATGATTTTGACGGCGGCAGAGATAAGAGGAAGAAGATGAAAGCGTATGTTTGGGATCGGCGCTCCACCAATCCTAGTCCGGGATAGCTTATACCCGTAGTTTGACTAAAAAGGTATTTGAAGTAAAAATGTTGAAAAGTTTATTTTGTTTTGTGAAAAATCTTTTTTATTAGAAGTATTTTTTAGGGTTGTCAAATATTTTTCTAATTCTAGCTGCAAGATTTTTTTAATCTTGCCAGCAACTGTGATAATTTTTTTACCAGCAGCTGTGATAATTTTTTTTTCGCCAACAACTGTAATAAATATTTGAACATTACTAACAATAATAATTAATTTTTCTATAAATAATAAAAAAAAATACTGAAATGCTACATTGTCATAAATATTATCCAAATGCTGCAAGAACAAGATTAAAATTATACACAAATTGTCTTTCTATAATAATTTGGCTTTAAAAATCTGACAAAGGTAAAATCATTTTTCCCATGAGCTACTTCAGTTTGACGTGACTTTTTTTAACATTAAGAAGTGAAATCATTAACGCAAAAAATGATTTTACTTTTGTCTCTTTCTATAATATTCTTTCATGAAAATCCATCTAAATTTTTTTAAACTACTCTTTTTAGTTCAAAATATAAATATCAAATAACTAAATTATGCTACTCAAAAAATTAGTTAAGGACAATAAATATATAAACAATGTAACTTATTTTCCTAAAAATTCTTATTTATGAACAGGTAAGTGAAAGTGAGAATGAGTGGAAAAAAAGATAAGAGAGGATGGATTGAAAAAAAAAATAAAGACATATTATGAATTAGATATATAAAAATGAAAAAAATGTATGAAACGAGGGATTGCACGCAGAGAAGATATAGCACAAAGGTGATTACCCATTAAAAAAGTTAAGTTGCACAAATTCTTTAAGGATCATTTGTCAATTAACTTTTCAATAAGAGATTTATCCTCAATTTTCCCAAAATTAAAAAGTAATTTTTATTCAATTTGAACAATAATTATGGGTTTGTGTTTGGATTGGCAATGGCAAAAGTAGTTTTTATTTCATCTGACTTTTACAAACATAAGTTAAAATAAAAATCAATTAATGTAATGTAACTTATGTTTAGATTGATTTTTATAAAACTCAGTTTGATAAACTAAAATTTGTTTGAATAGATAATAAAAAAGTAATTTTAGATGGGCATGAGTTTTAAAGAGACATATAAACTAATATATAATTTAATAATACACATAAATTTTTCAAAGAAATTATGCAACATATAATATAATTAAGTAATTTATTTAGTTTTTTTAATTTGTTCAAATTAGTCTATTGGGGTCTTATATCACAGAGGGAAGGTAGCATATCATATGTGTACAATTTAATAAATTTTAGAAAAATAATTAAATTTATAAGTTAATTTTTTCCTTAAAAGAATTAAAATTATTGGATCAAGAGAGGACCTATTTAAATATCCTCATCTTTTTTTCTCATTTTCATTATTTTCTCTCTCCATGTTACGAACCAAAAAAGCTCAAATTTTTAAGGGAAAATGACATTGAAGTCTTATGCAACACAAATACTACAAAATGTCCCAGGAAATTTGTAATGATTTGAAGTCCCAAAGGACTGAGTGTAATTTGGTGAATTGTAAAAAGACGCCTCTGCCCCTGGTGAGATGCACCTACACTAACTGAAAGCTGCCCTGTTTTTTAGTCTGAAAATCAGCACTCTATACGCAGGAAGCAAGAGAGAAAAAACTCAAACTTCATTTTACTTCTTCCTTCATTCCCATATGAAAATCTCATCCACTCCATTACTGTCAATCATTGGCAAAAATCACTTGTATTTTTGGTTTTGGTGTGTGTTTGGTCATTCAAGTTAGGGTTTTATATGGGGGTAGGGTTGATTATGGGGTGTTCTGTTTGGGTATATTGTGTGACAACTGTTCCTTTAAAACCCATTTAGATCAAAATTTTCAATTTTATTCGAACGATTAACCATGATAGAAAAAGAAGAAACCTTAAAATTTTAAAATCGCTATCATGGTTAAAAGAAATAAACTTATAATAAGAGTAACATCGATCGTTACCTTGGGTCTTGGACTTCCAAAGTTCAGAAATATCATTCAACCATTAGCCCAAACCAAACTGATATTTTCAAACATACGAACTGATAAATCAGTTTAATATAAACTATAGAGCTCATTAATCAAAAGTCAACACTTTCAAAAGTTATTGTGGGTTCACAGCTTACCGACCCAAGCAACCCAGCAACAAAAGTAACTAAGACCATAAGTCTCGATTAAATCAGAGCATGCAAAAAGAGCTATATGTGGCAATATACAATACTCATCACATGACTAAAAGGAGGCTATACAAGATAAACTTGATAGCTAAGCCTTCGCTGCCTTCCCTGATGGACCAGCCCTAGAGCTATTATCTGAAAATGTTAAACCACGGGGTGAGACAAAAGCCTCAGTAACCAACAATCCTACTCATTAGGCATACAAGTAAGTGCTTGAGAGGTGTCAAGTGGAACAGTTACTAAAATCATAACATTCACAATTGTCACATGGTTATATATATATATACATCATACATATACATATCAAATGCAATATCTCACTCTCAATTCCACCTTATTTCCTCACACCTTATTTCCTCTGACTGAACCCATGGGCTAGTACTGTCCCATGTGACTGGTAGTTCAACATAATAAGCTCACCGATCAATGATGTGAATAGGCCAAAATCCACAGAGCACAAGATCGGACCATGGGTTCCCCCTCTAGTCCACTAGCGGGGTGTCATACGCCCTACAACACATGATAGGGCCAAAGGATCAACCAGTGTACATCTGGCGTCCTCCCACCTTATTACCTCTATAATATGTACAAAAATTCACCCCCTTATTCTCCCTATAACATGTCTCCCACAATCAACGTTCACCGTCCCCTCTCGTATTTATACTCATGAGAATAGTCATTTACCAATAACATAATAACTTTCACATTTTTCAAAATCGAGATTTCGAAATTTCAATAATCAACACCAGTCCTCAAACCATTTCTCAATAAATTCTTGTTCCACATGACAATTTATAAAGTCATAATTTCATACTATTTTTCAATAACATAAAGTATCTCAAGGTAATTTCAACAACGATGCCTTTCATTGCTCAAATAATAATTCAATGGCATTTCAAGAATCTCATATAATTTGAAATCACTCACAAACATCATACAAGCATACATAACAAGTGGAAAGTGGTTACCTTTCACCAAGGCTATAAAAAGAATTACTACAAAGTCAACCCCGTGCTCAAACCAACAATCCAATAATCAATCTACACCATTAATAACCACAAATTAATATAAGCTAATTAATTAAGCTTATATATATTAGTTAAATTCCTAATTTAATTTAATTATCATTCTAAATTCTCACAACTCTTATAATCCAAAATTAAGTACTTTAGAACTAATTGGTAATTTTCTAACAAGCCAAATTATTTATTTACATCCCTCAACTTATTTACTTTAATAAAAAGAATTTTCTAAAATTTCTAAATATGAAATTAGTATATTCTAAATTCCAAAAATCACATTTAAAATTTAAGCCTCAAAACCAGACCATCAAAAATTCAATAGTGTCTCAAATATTTATATATATAAATAATCAAACCAAGATTTTAATGGCATATATATGTTTTTTTTTTCAATAAATAAGAAACTTTAATTACAATAATTATTTTAAAACCTCTAGTCACTCAATAAATAAAACTAAACCGATTAAAATTTTAAGAATATATCAAACAACCCAAATAAATTATTTAACTTAATTTTAATCGGTATAAATATGATATATATATCATAAATAACATATTTTTTAATTAAAAATTAATTTTTAAATACCAAAATCAATAAATAGACAAATCTAAACCGGTAGAAATGATCTACTATAACAGATCTATAATACTGTGATTAACACTCATCAAAACTAAATACTTGCTCTAAACTCTATACCAAAAATTTTCTCTAAGCAACACAAAATTACTATCATTAGATAGATCTAATGAGTAGAACAACTTTCATGAAGAGAGTTTTGTAATTAGAAGTAGTTTTACTTACCAAAATGATCTGTAACATGAAGAGAGAAGGGAGAGAGAGCGACGCTGCGAGCGAGCGGACGAAGCAAGCGGAGAGAGAGAAGGAGAGGAGGAGAAGACGGGAAGAAGGTAAAAAGAAAACACTCGGGGTAAACTGAAGTTAAAGACCCTAGGTAAAACGGAAAAAATAACAGTTTGAACCCCTTTTTTTTTCAATTTTTAAATATTTAAATCCTTGGAGTAGAATTTAAGATGTTGTTCTATTGTGAGTGGATTGAAGGTGACTTGCTCTGTTTGGGCATGGTTCAGAGAGAATTGATGAGAAGATGAAGGTTGGTGTGATTAGAAACCCTTACTGCAAATAGGAAAATATGTTATCAGTATGGGCCACGACATTGTCAATACAGCTCCTTGACTTGTCAATAGTAACAGCATTGTACAGATTTACATTAACTGATTTTTAAATTTTTTACACAAGGTCATAACTTTCTGTACCCTTGACTCATTGGTAGAGGTCACAAAAATAGGAAGAAGAGATACAAAAAGGGTGAGTAGTTACATGAGGCAAAAGAAAAAAATGGAAAAAAAAAAGCCACTTTGATCCTAGACAAATGATGGCAAAAGAATTTTTTCGTAAATAGAAGTGACAATTTTTTTTTTGTAGATGTCACAACATACACAAATAATTAGTTGATACTGGATACGTGCAACTATATTTTTTTTATGGGATTATAAAATCAATGTAAATTACATGTATATGAAGTTGTAAATGAAAGTTAGCTGTTTATTACATTCTGATGCATAGTTAGTTTGTCATTATCCGCACCCTTCATTGTCAATATATGCTTCGTCACTTGTCACTCACTGCACCATCAGTTGTCAATTAATGTACTGATATAAATTTTAAA